CCACTGAGAACAACTGACATATCTTGCCTTTCAAATAAAGTCAGTTTTTTTAATATATATATTTGTGGCTCTGTTTTTATTCATGTGTCCCTGTAATATCCAAGACTAGGCCATGCATACAGAAGGTGATAAGCATGTTTTCAATCATAAATCACAGTTAAGTAGCTTGTGAGCCAGACATATTTTGTTTGGGTATTATTATGCTTTTCAAACTGAACTTCAATGTCTTTATGGGGGGCATTCATTCTACAATTTACCACAGATCTTTCTGGAAAGAATAGAAGGAAATTTATAAAAATGTCAGCATATTAAGTCTCAAATCTTAATTATCAAAAGAATTATGAAATCTTTGGGACACAAGAACATAGGAAAAGGAGAGTAAAAAGAAGAGGCAAAGACCTTAAGGCAAATTAAAGCAAGTGAAAGGGACTGGGAACAGTCTGTGGTAGATTGCTTACCTAGCATGCATGAGGCCCTGGGTTCCATCCTCAATATCTGGGGACGGGGCAGTAGAGGGTAAAGGCATAGGAGATAAAAATTTTTTTTGTTTTGTTTTTTTTGTTTTTTGTTTGTTTTTTTGAGATGGGGTCTCACTGTATAGTTGAGACTGACCTAGAACTTCCTATGTAGTCCAGGCTGGTCTTGAACTCACAGTGATCCTCCTGCCTCAGCCTCCCGAGTTCTGGGATTACAGGCGTGCGCCACGACGCCCAGCGAAAATTTGTTCATGTTATTGCCAATTATTTCAAGAGACTTTGTTGGAGACTATGAGCATACACAGGTAGGTGTGACACATCAAAAGATAGCTTACACATGACCTCCAAACATTAAAAACAGTATCTTGCATTAATGGAACACAGCGGACTGAGATAACATGATTGCCAAATATGGAAACAAGGAGAGGCAGTAAGAGTTGTCTGGAAGGTACAGAGTGATTGTACAGTGAGTTGAGAGGAAGGAAGGAAAAATTACTTCTGGCTGAGGGATGACAAAGAAGGGGTGTTTTAAGGAATAAGCGGGTGCTCACACTAGGCAAAGGGGTCGAACCTTTCCCTGAGTGCTATGCAGCCTATCAGCACAGAGGTAACATGAAGGCTCCTCAAACTATGTGTCTGTAACTGAATCTGTCATTCATCATCTCCTGCTCTTGGATTTCTTGCCTAAGTTAAGAGATGTATTATCTATTCAGAAGTTTATTTATTCAACAAATGTTCACAGTGTGTCTGGTATGTGGGGGCATGGGTCTAGTAAAAGACAGTCATTGGACAAGTAAACAAAAAAAAGTAGCAGAAAAGAAAAATATACTTGTTAGAAAAATGCAAGAAGGGTATTTAGATCAGGTTTAGACCTCTCTGAACTAAAGAATGAAAAGCAGTCAGGAAAGTTAATGATAGGAGGAGAGGTTCTCAGCAGAGAAGTCTGGGTAAAGAAAGTGAAGGAGTGGGGCTGGGGATTTAGATCAGTGGTTCCACTGCCTGCCTCATAAGCACAAGGTCCCAAGTGAGATCCCTGGTACCAAAAAAAGAAAGAGAGAGAGAGGGGAGGGGGTGGAGGAGGGAAGAAAGCAGGAAAGCAAAGGAGCAAATTGGAGTTCAATTTTCTGTAACCACAGCAAGAAAAAGATGGAACAAATGTAGTGAGAAATGTGGACAGAGAGGTAATCACAGCTTTGCACTTCCTGTTACAAATTCTGTGGTGAAGCTAACGAAGAAGAAACAGCAGTGCAAACACAGATGCCCTCTTGTTGGGCAGCATGGTGAGGGATACCACAGTTCAAGAGCTGACTCTAGTCTATGATCTAAGTGTTAGGAGAAGGGGAATATCAAATGCTTTGAGAACTCTGCCAAGGGACATCTGGACTGGTCTGAGAAAGATATGTTCACACTCTCTACTCAGACCATTGCAGTAGCCTCTAAATCAGTTAATGTAGCCCTCAATGTCTGTCTTCCACATTGCTGCCCATTATCTTCCATAGCGCAAATGACAGCATGTCAGTTCAAAGCAATCCACTCACAAAATCATCTCATAAAAGGCTGAATTCCATGGAAATGTCTATCTTGTGCCCTCGAACGTTGGAAGTGTTTGACTTTCTTTTCATTTGTACAGGGGCCTGCAGCTAAGAGTTGGCTTTAAACCTCAGAGATTTTGAACTTGGATTTTCCAGCAATGCTGAGACCGTTAGGACTTTGGTAACTCTTAGAGATGGACTAGATGCCTTTTGCATAACAGAATGTATATGAGCCTTTGGAGGGCCAGGAGTGGAATGCCATGTTTTGGGTCTGAATGGCCTTCAAAGCCTCATTTGGTCAGAGGTAGTTGAATCTGGAATGTGTGATGCTGGGATTACTAAAGTATTGCACCTGAGTGAGTTGTTTAGCACTGCCCTAATACAGGTAGTCTGGATAAAAGAGGCAGAAGGGCGCAGTAAAGTCTCTCTCCCTCGTTGCCTTTGCCACTGTGTGGGTGCCATCTTGTTTCTCCTATGCCATGCCTGTTTGTCATCCCTGTCTCAGAGCCACCTGATTACAGACTGAAACCTCTATGAACTCTAAGCCAAATAAACCCATTCCCTTAAAAAGTGGGGTGGGGGGGCACTGAATTCCAAAGTCCACAATCTTGTATCACTGGCTTTAATGTTTAGCTTCTTTTTTGAAATTTCTACTACCTACCACAATGATTTTAATTAACTCAATTCATAGAAAGAAATACATTTGATACATAAAAGAAACAATTCAAGTAGAATTTCTCTGGTACTTTCTATTCCATGCTATTTTTCTTTTCTATAAATGCAGGTTGCAACTAGACATGGGGACACACATCTGTAATCCCAGCACTTGGGAGACTGAGCTGAAGGATCATGAATTTAAGACCAGGCTACATAGTACTACATAGTAGGCTGTTCGGTTTTTTGCACGCTTGTTTTGTTCTTGAGACAAACTCTCATTATGCAGTTAAGACTGAGCTTGAACTCACTATGTAGCCCAGGCTGGCCTCAAAGTTGCAGCAATCTTCCTGCCTCTGCCGCTCTAGTACTGAGATTACAGGTGTCATCATGCCTGCCTACATAGTAGGTTTGAGGCCAGTCCATGGTACCTAAAACTGCCTCAAAAAAAAAAAAAGCTGATTCTAACTTATCCATGTCCTGCTAGGTCCTAATCTGCTGTTTGAAAGCCACTGCCTGGTCCCTCCACTACTCTCTTTCTCACTTATTTCTTAGCAAAGTCTGTTTTTTACACTGACCAAGTTGTCCCAAATGGCAGGAATGCCTTACCCTTCATTGTCCTTCACCTAGCAAGTTCCTACTGACCTCTCACGACTGAGCTCAAATGTTACTTCCTCAGAGAAACCTTTCTAGATACTTCCCTAGTCCCACTTCCAATCTCAGGGATCACAGGGTTCGGTACACCCTGGGCAACAGCATTTGTCATGTGGAATATATTGTGACTTCTTTTAAAATATAGATCAGTCTGCTTTGAACTACATTTCTGAATGTCAGTAACTCAGCTGTTCTACACCAGGCCCAAAGTAGGGCCTAACCTGAAGCAAAAGCAAGAGGATGTAATGCTGGATACATGAAAACTGACTTCATCTTGCACTGCCCTCCCTCCAACCTCACCATCTTAGCTGTGTACTGAGCAACTGATCAACTTGCCTTTCTCTATTCCTCAAACACACCAGTTCTTCCCACCTCAAAGGCTACCTATCCCACTCTTCTCATAGCTGTTTCCATGGCAAGATACTGTTACTGTTTCTTCAGATCAACAGACTATTATCAAAGAAACATTACATTTCCTTTACTTGTCTTACAAAGCTTCTCTGACCTTGTTGGGTTTTTGTTTGTTTGTTTTTAATTTTTGAGACAGGGTCTCACTATGTAGTTGAGACTGACCTGGAACCCACTATGTAGCCCAGGCTGGTCTCGAACTTGCAGCAATCCTCCTGCCTCAGCCTCCCGAGTGCTGGGATTACAGGTGTCCACCACCACGCCCAGCCTGTTTGTTTGTTTGTTTTGGATAAGGTCTTGCTATATAGTTCAGGCTGGATTTGAATTCACTATGCACCTCAGGCAGCCTCCCCAGGGCTGGGATCAGAGGTGTGTGCCACCACGCGTGGCCCTTGAAATCACAATACTTACTCATTTCCTGCTAGTTTACTGTCTCACAAATTAGAATGTTAGATTTTAGAGGGAACAAATCTACCCATTTGCCCCACTAATTTCAGCACCTAGAATAGTGCACAACACACAGTAGGACCCCCAAAAAGAATCTTCTGATATATCAGCAAGCAACAGAGGAAGCAGACAGGCCATAGAATCGCTGATAGCTAATTCAGGTAGCGAGTGATAGAAGGGAGTAGGCCCAGGACAGAGCGCAGAGATGAGGCAAATCAAGCGTGTGGTCGGTGGGGCTAAATTGATAGAAACTAGGCTCCAAGATGGAGACAGTATGGCTGAGCCTGCAACCCTCCCCGGAGACAAACAACGGTCCAAAACTATTCTATAATTAGCACCATCGAATCCAATAAGCCTACACAAAACAACAAATGTAGAAATAACATAAGGAACACGTACAGTTAACCAGAATACTCTGACCCTTATCTCTACCCCTTCCAGAAATGTCTGTTTTTCTCCTTTCTATGGTATATTGTTTTTCAATTAGATCAACATTAGCTAAGTGATTGTACTTGTAAGCCTACAGGTTGATTAGTTCGATTCAATGCAACCTGTGATATTTTACTGTACACAAACCTGCTAGACAGCCTTTTGCAACCCCTTCTGCCTTTAAGTAAGTTTCTCTTAATAAAACTTAACGTGAGACACAAACTGTGATAGGTTAGGAGTTACATCAATGTAACAACAGCAGAATTGAAGACTTGTTCTGAAGACACCTTGAAGGGGTCCCTGGCAGAACGAGGCCTTGGGCTTAAAGCACACAAACCTAGAATCGGCACTGGGAAGGGGGGGGGGTTTGAAAGGCCGGGTGCCACGTTCCAGGGCCTACCAGTAATAAGTGACTGTGCAAGCCGCGCACACACGCTCAGCCGGGGCTTCGCACACCTCACAGCAGAGCCGGCGCCCCTTGGGAACCGCCAGTGGGTAGATGACATTCATGTTGCAGCCAGTGGTGTCCGTCTCTAGGACTGTTGCCGGGCAAGGGTAAGAGGGACACGTGTCACGTGACACCGCGGGACTGCAACGTTCCCAGGGTTAAAGGGCAAAAAAGAAGGGTGTGGAATGACTGCCACCGGGAGTCTATTTCTGAAGCCGGGGGAAAAAAAAAGAAAAGAAAAGAGAGGAGAGAAGAAAAGGCAAATCACACGGAACAAAAGGTTAAATCAGTCAGTTTAACCCCAAGAGACTCGAAGGCCAGGAAGTCTGTACGGTAGCCGGGAAGGGCCAAATATAGCCAAGCCTTTACTCAGGCTAGGACATTAACAGGCGAGAATGATTCTCCCAAAAGTCCACCCGACCGGGAATGAAATGCTTTGTCACTTTCTCTTGACTCTGAGACAGAATACCACGCGTTTCCGCCCTTGGCGATATGCGGAGCCTAGCGGCTCATGTACTGTGTAGCGAACAGCCCACTCAACATTGCGGCTGCGCACTCACCAGGTACGGGAGAGGCGTGGCGCCGGCGGCTCGGGTTGTGCGCAGACCCAGGAGCGCTGCGATACTGATGGCGGAGGTGGACCTGGTCGCCGAGTTCCCACGGCCTGCGGGTGTTACGCGCTGGGCCGAGGTTATGGCTCGCTTTGCCGCCAGACTGGGCGAGCAGGGACGGAGGGTGGTGTTGATCACTTCAGGTGGCACCAAGGTTCCTCTGGAGGCGCGGCCCGTGCGCTTTCTGGACAACTTCAGCAGTGGGAGGCGTGGTGCAACCTCGGCGGAGGCCTTTCTGGCTGCGGGTTATGGTGTCCTGTTCTTGTACCGTGCTCGCTCGTCCTTTCCCTATGCCCATCGCTTCCCACCTCAGACCTGGCTGTCTGCCCTGCGACCTTCTGGCCCAGCCCAGTCTGGCATGCTGAGCCTAGAGGCCGAGGAGAATGCACTCCCCGGCTTTGCTGAGGCTTTGCGGAGCTATCAGGAGGCAGAGGCTGCCGGCACCTTCTTGTCCGTAGAGTTCACCACTTTGGCGGACTATTTGCATCTGCTTCAGGCTGCGGCTCAAGCACTCAACCCTCTAGGTGCGTTCCTTAGGAATCCATCGGTGGCCTCCAGGCAGAGACTTTCTCCCCAGCCACTTTTCCCCGCACACTGTACCTTCTGCTTAGCCAGCGGATTCAGCAAGGATGTCGAGCTGAAAAGGATCCCATACCCTCCCCGATTTGTTACACCGTCTGCTTCTCTTTGCAGGCTCTTCTGCGATGTTTTACCTGGCTGCAGCCGTGTCAGATTTCTATGTTCCTGTTTCTGAAATGCCTGAGCACAAGATCCAGTCATCTGGGGGCCCACTGCAGGTGATGGGCGCTTCTCTTCCAGAGATCTGATCCCCTATAATCAGTCGGGTTAATTTACTCTTGATCTGGAAATGGCCTTTCTGCATTCTGTATGCGCTAGGCACTGGGGATACAGAGATGAATAAAGACACCGCCCTCTCTCAAGGACCTCAGAATCTAGCGAGGGAGCTGGACACAGACATAATTACAATACAAAGTGATAAATGCTCTAGTGGAGGTATGTACAAAGTGCAGACAGACCATGGGGGAGTAAATTGGGAGAGTGGAGGAAGTTTTCCTGGTGGAGATGACTTACACTAGGTTTTAAAAGATGAGCGCGAGATGTAACAAAAGTGGGGAAGGCCATTACAAATGGAGTTACACAGTTGGTGTCTGGAACTAAAGTGCTTTAATGAGGCTGGAGAGCAAAATGAAGAAGCGGCTTGCTTCACAGAAAACTTATTCTTAAAGAGTTTGGACTTCAACTTGTGCATGCAAGGGGAACATTAAGTAGAAAAATGAGATGAAGTGTTTGAAAAAAACACCATCCTGAAAGGTAAAACAGGAAGAGTGGAGGTGGTACAGTAGTTGGGGGCTACTATAGATAAAGAGGTATGGGAAGGGGAGTGCTATGGTTGAGATTACTTGGTGTCTTAGATCCTGAGAAAGTTCTTAGTTGGTTATTGGGTGATACAAGTAGAGTTTTTATAGGAGAAACTTTGCCTGTGGGGCACTTACAGGATTCTCTCGTTTGTTGTCTGTTCAGTAAATATTTACTGTGTACCTACTGTATACCACGTATTGTTGCAGGACCTGGAGATGAAAACAGTGAAAAGAAATATATCTAGCAGGGGAAGTCAAATATGCATACTGTATTTGTTAGTGATAAGTGCTAATGAGAAAAAGTGGGGAATTGGTCTATGATCCCTCTTATACTTGCTAAAGCTCTTTTAGGGGAAATTTTGACTAGCTTCGTGATTTCACACTTAAAAATTCTAGGATCCTTAATTTATCCCACATTTTAAAAGTTCCACAGTATCTTGAAAGCACACGATAAAATTCTCCTTTGAAATTATTAGATAGTAGGCGTTTAGATAAAGAGAAAATAAATTCAGTTGCTTGCTCAATACTAAGTCATATAATTCCTTCCTCTTGTAATTCCAGTTGTAGGTAAATTGAATTGTAAATGGAATCCAATAGCCATTTTGTCAATGTAAGCAATATTTTAGGCTGAAAGATTAAAAAACCTAATCTTACTGGGTTTCTGCCAAAGTAAATTTGGCATGAACAGATTATTTGTGTTCATCTGAGGATTTGCTTTTTTAAAAAAATAAAGGAAAATATTGAAGAGAATATAATGAGGTACAGAGCAGGGATGATTCCAGAAAGCATGGTTTGTCAGAATATATATGAAGCCTTGAATTTAGGCATTGTTATGAACACCACAGAAGCAAGGCTTTAAAACTAGTTATGAGTATGCTTTGATATTTGATAGTGAGTAATCCCCTTACATTGATATAGGAAAAAATCTGAGTCCTTCAACCCTTTGTTTCCTGGTAGGTAGTGACCACTATTTGCTAATTCAACTTTTCTTTTTCCAATACAGATAACTATGAAGATGGTGCCGAAAATGCTTTCTCCTTTAGTTAAAGATTGGGCTCCCAAAGCATTTATAATTTCCTTTAAGTTGGAGACTGACCCCTCCATTGTAATTAGTCGTGCCCGGAATGCTTTGGAAATTTATCAGCATCAAGTGGTAGTGGCTAATATCCTTGAGTCACTACAGTTTTTTGTAGTTATTGTAACCAAAGACTCAGAAACCAAGCTAATGCTATCAGAGGAAGAAGTAGAAAAAGGCATGGTGATAGAAGAGAAGATAGTAGATAATCTTCAGTCTCGACACACAGCTTTTATATGTGACAAAAACTGAACTAAAAAGATTAAAAATTGTTCCGTGGTCCAGGGCTTGTACAGATGGCAAAGACTAAAATTCTTTGCTTTCATAAGGAACAAAGAGAAGGGTAAATTCAGGTGCAGGCAAATACGGGTTGGTATTTGTTTTTTAATAACTGAACCACCCAATAAGATCACCTGAATATTAATCTGGATTTGGAAATTAAACACCATAACTATATCTCATCTTTAAAAGAAGTCTGTTGGGAATTATATATTCCACAAAACATAACAGGGAGACTTATTGCTGAATATTAGCCTACTTTATACAATGGAAAGGATTATGGATACATGCATGGTCATGTGGTCAGGCTTTGAAGGTGAAGTATTTGGTGAGGGCCTACTATGTTTCAGGCCCAGAGCTAAGTGATGAGGATTAAAAAGACGGAATAAATATGATTTGTTTGGAAAATGGATGTGTAAAAGTTTAAGTGTAATAAAGTGTGCCCACAAACTGACAAGTGGAAAGGATGTTGTTTTTTTGGAAATTTACTAAAAATGGAAAGACACCTCCCTAAACATAGATGATTGCTGTAGATTGGAAAGCTTCCCACTACATTTACCTTTTGCTACTTGCCCTAGATTTGCTCTATATTTGAGTAATAATTTACTTCTCAAATATTGTAGAACTGTTCTTGAATTTAACACAGCCTTCTTCCTGGTACCAGGCAGGGACCATTTGGTGAGCTCTGTCATGTGCTAAAAAGTACCAGGGTGTGGCGACAATTTAGCCAGCCATGCCAGCCACTTAGGCACGTATCTTAGTCTTTTTCTTCATGTATAACTTGTGGATAATACTCTGCAAAGTGATATCGTTGGCTGTGAAGATTAAGTAAAACAAGATAAGGGAAAATGTGTGGTGTCTGGCACTTCACATTCATTAATGGTTAAGATTATTGTTTTTCTTACTTAGCAACACTTACCAGTGTCATGCTGGATCCTGCTTGATTTTTGAGTCTTTGAAAACAAAGCTTTATTCACTCCTAAGTTTGGGAGTAACTAAGTAAAAATCCCCTAAACTGTAGGGAGGTTCAGAATACAATTTGAAAACAAAAACAATTTGAAAAGTTACCATTATTAACTACATTAAGACTTGATTTAGCGGGTAAGGATGTAGCTCAGTGGAAGAGGCTCTGGGTTTGATCCCCAGCATGACTAATAATAAAATACAGTTCATTCCAGGCATGATGGCACAGGCATGTATTCCCAGCTGCTCAGCCAGAGGCAAGAGGATCACATTTGAGGCCAGCCTGGGGATGTAGATCCATGGTACAGTGCCCTGGGATACCCCCGTACAATTCATATTTCATGGCATTGGGAAGAGTAATTCAACGTATCCTACAGACAACAGAGATACAATAAATTTTAGTTGAGAAGATTTAAACAAGTGTTAAATACTTCATCAAAGCACAAAGTATGACAGTGAGCAGAGGACAAATAACTGCAACAGCCAAGACTGTTTCAAGCAGCAGTTATGTGAATATGAATTTTAAATGAACTTCAGGTCCAATTGGCAAAACCTCAAAAGCAATAGCTGCAGTGTTGATGGGGCATGAAATAAAAGACTGGTTTTCCTCCCTACATTTATAGACTCACGTGGATGATGACACTCCTTTGAGCACAGTGGGGATAAAGTTAAAATTAGCAGTGGTCTTTATGATTATTGCATCTTGTGGGAAACTCTTTTTGTTAATACTCAAAAATGCCAAAAATCACCACATGGAGTTGAAGTATTTTCTCCTTCAGTTTATTATCTATTCAGAGCACTTAAAAAGCAGTATTTGCACAAGCAAAAATTCCAGGAGTGTGTGTGTGTGTGTGTGTGTGTGTGTGTGTGCCTACAGCACATATATAAGTGTTTAAAGAAAAAGGTTCATAAGTCAATTATTAGAAAATAAGGAACTTGATCCAGATTGGAGAACCAAGAAAACTTTGCTTGAGGTGATGTTGACACTGGAGTAAAGTGGGGGCTGCAGGTGATGAGCATTTAGATCAGAAAAAATACAGGGGCTCTGTTGCCAAAGAAGGTGAAGTGCATATCAAATAAGGGGTAAAATCCATCCATATACAATAAAGCCACCAAAGGTTAGGAAAGATTTCTAACTAGAACATGGGATACTAGCAAAGCAAAGGCACTCAAAAACTGAGTAAAAGTGAATTCTGATAAATACCTGGAATCTCGGCCTGAGGGGTGGGGGTGGCATTTAAAATGATGCAGAAGTTTTGTTAAATTTTGTCATTTAGAGCTTTATTTTGCATTACCTAGTAAGAGATACGACTCACCTAAGTCAAATTTCCAGTGCTTAAGGGCCTCAGCCTTTGTGTTAATTGTGGTCAGTCCGGTTTCTTCATTTTTGCAATAAACTACCAAAAGTGTGATTCCTTAGGCATTCCAGGTGATTAATGGCAATTCTAGGCATAAAATTCAGAACTACAGACCTAGTACCCCACCCTTGTTTTTTTGTTTTTTTGGTACCGGGGATTGAACCTTGCGCTTGCAAGGCAGGCCACCGAACCGCTGAGCTAAATCCCCGGCCCCTACCCCACCCTTTTAAGGATGAGTTGGCGGGAACAAGTTCAAGGACTAGAACGTCCCATTACAAGGAGAAGGAACCTGTGAGTTGCAAATACTAGCCACCGTTACACTGGGTTCTGCAGCCTCCAAGCCAATGGAATAAGCCCTACTAACGACGCAGCTGGAAGACCCACGCTCCAAGGGCCAATGGTGTGCACTGTAACAACGGTCCTGACCGGAAGAGCAATCCCTGGCACCAATGCCTTGCGTCGTACCTATGGTTCCCGCAGGAAGAACGCCTTTGCGTGGGTGCGGTTAGCGCGGTTGCTATGACGCCCTGGCTGCTTAGGCACCTGCCCCTGTATTCTCTTGGGCCAGGAATTTAGCGCCCCCCGGGACACCTTGCAGCACCTAAGAGAAAATTTTTGATGTTCTTCCTGAAGTTCCGACTCATCCCCAAGAAGAAAAGCGTTCATTCTTCCCCTTTTCCACATTTCACGTCTTTTCCGCTTCTCTCCCGAGAATGACCCGAAAGTACAGGAGGAGCGCCTGTCTGGCTCGGCATTTCTAGCCCCAGGTTGGAGGGCTTCTGCCGTAAGGGTTCCCCGGTTTTCGCGGAGCCAGCTGCCAAAGGCATTTAGTATTTGGATGCCGCTTGTATTTAGAGAGCGGCTTAGAACACGCTCAGTGAGTTAGGTGGGCGTTGCTTTTCTCCATTCACTGGTGAGGAGGCGCGCACCCCGACTGAGGACGACTCCCCAAGGCCCAGGCCGCTACAAAGTCCACGGAGGCTGTCACAGCTTACTTTTACTGCAGGCTAGTGAACAAAGAACTGCCGTTACCTGCTTTTTGGTCGATGTTCGTCACGCAGAACCGTGATTCCCGATGAAGCTTTGGAGGCCCTTGGTAACCTCAGCGTCAGAGGTCATCAAGTCAGTTACCTTCTGCCTTTCAGGCTACAATTTCATCCGCTTCTCTCATCCCTCTGAGCACAAGTGTCTTCGTTCTGTTCCTTCCACAACCATCTCCACCCTTCCCCGTTCACACTGCACATTTTTGCGCGTCCATTCATCTCTACCACTTCTGTCATTTATAGACCACCTCTTTTCTGTTTTCCTGCTGTGGTGCTTTGCGTGGCTATATTGCGCATTCTCCAGCTATACAATAATTGGGACATTTTTCTGTTTCTCTGCACCGTGGCAAACGTTCTGTGGGGTAAACTAGAGACTAGAGTGGAGATGAACGCACTCTCAAATGCAAACATTAAATTGCTGAAAACCTAGTGTGTTTTGATAAGGAAGGAAAAATAGCGGTTTGAGGCGCATTTCAGGCTTATATAAAGAAGGCTGTTCCTTATAATTAAGTAAATGTTAGAATAGGCATAAAAGCGACGTGTTTACAACGTGAAAATATAATTCAGAAATGTTATATAATAGAGAATTTCAACTTTAAGCCCCTATGATAGAATTGCTAAAGAGAAGATAATTGAAAAACTTGTGCCTCTTGGGAAGCTTGATTTAATTTGTCTTATAGTTTATGTTCCTTGTTGACTCATTTCTTCCTCGCTGTTTAGGTTGAAATATAAAACTATTTTGAGAATGTATAAAGTACACATTTGAGACAGGTATCGAGAACTGTAACGATTTAGACATTTTTATTTCTCAGGCCAATTAAAGTGGTATTTGTGATATTTCATTCTTAGCTCAGGTTTCCAACTACTGAAAATTCAGCTTTCTCTTTTGTAATAGGTTAGAAAATAAGAAGCTCTTCAGCTTTTTCAACTTTTCATATTAAATAGACATGAGCAAATACTAATTCTTGAAAAAGTAGGCTATTTTATAAGGGGCTCTCCTCTTCCAATATGACAAAGTTAATGATACAAGTTAAATTTTTTTTTCTCTTACTCCCTAGCACAATTCTAACCATGGGAGGAGGGGGACCTTGCCCCTAAGAGACATTTGGTGATGTATGGAAACGATTTTAGTTGTCATATTGGGATGTGCCACTTTGATCTGGTTGGTCAAGTACAGGGCAGCCGCTGCTGCTGAACATCCTCCTGTTTGCATAGACTATCCCGTAAAACAAAGAATTGTCCAGGCCAAAGTGTCAGTAGTAACAAGGTTGAGAAACTGACCTAACACATCCACAAGTCTTCTCTTCTGTGTTGTCCTTCACATGTACATTTTTACAAAGTTATAATGTACATTTTGCCTTTTTCACTTTATATTTTTAAACTTCCCACATTGCTGCATTGCTTTCAACATTTTTTAAATGTGTATTTTTCTTTTGGAAATTGAAAAGGAAAAAGACTATATAATGCTATATTTACTATGTCTGGTTGTTTTTGCATAGTACTGGGAATTGAACCCAAGGATGTTCTACAACTGAGCTATATCTCCAGGCCTTTTTATTTTTTATTTTGAGACAAGGTCTCCTAAGTTGCCAAGGCTGACCACAAACTTGTGATTCTCCTGCCTCAGCCTCCCAAGTACCTGGGATTACAAACCTACACCACCAAGTCTGACTATGTATGTAATTTTTAAATTACATTTGTGTAAAAGGGAAAAAATGGCTAGGGTGAAAAAGCCTAGGGAAGGAGGTGGGGCTCAGGCCAGGGAATGGAATGAGGAAGATGTCTGGCTTTAAACCTAAAAGTTAAACTACAGCGGGAGGGGTAAACTAACAATATTATCTCAAGATCTGCCTTACTAGAATTTTCAAAATTCTCAGCCATTTGGTCTCAGTAAGTCAACTGGAAAAATGTTCTAGGATGCCGTAACACCATTTTAGGGAGAGGGACCTGCATGTCCAAAGTCAAGGAAGCATGGTGGGAGCAGTAAGTCTCTGGCATAAAAGCCTAATGCCAAGGAGTAGCAGAAAGTAGGCCAGAGACAGAGGCAGGAGCCAGACTGTGGAGAATTCTTGGTGCCAAGTTTAGGGACTTGAACTCTGCCGGAGAGCAAGTCGCAGGTGATGTGCATTCAGAGCACATATTGGATGGGGCCAACCTGACAGCAGGAACTCAGTTATAAATGCTACCATCCCAACTGACAAATAGATTGTGGGGAAACAAACCAAAATAAGCAGGTGTGATGTACCAGACACCGGAGGTCTCATTATCATTGTAAGATAAGTATAGCTTATGAGAGCAACCACTTTACATTCACTAGGATGAAAATTATATATGGTGGATGTGTGATCCTTTAACATTTATTCTTCTTTTCTTCCACCACAGAAGTATGATACTTAGTTTTGTGACTGATGGCTGCATTCCTTACTATCAGATGTTGGCATGTGACTAACTTCTGACTGAAATGTTACACACACACACACACTTGACGTAATACGTGTTAATAAGTATATGGAGAAAGTGGGACACTTCAGTGTTGCTGGTGGGAAAATCAAATGGTATTGCTCCAGTAGAAGCTTACTGATGGTTCTTTAAAATGTTAATCATACAGGGGCTGGGATTTAGTTCAGTGGTTCTGCTGCCTGCCTTGCAAGCAGAAGGTTCTGAGTTCAATCCCCAGTACCAAAAAAAGAAAAAAGAAAAGTTGATCATACAATTATATACCTAACAATTCTTTTCCTAGGTATTTACCCCTAAATAATTAAAACAGGGACTCAAATAGATACTTATCCACTGATTCTCATAGCATCATTAGCAATAGTCAAAAAGTAGAGACAACCTAATAACCATCAACAGATGAATGGATAAACTAAATGGGCTATTTATATACAGTGCAATGTTAACATTAAAAAGGAAGGAAATTCTGGCATATTCCACAACATGCATGAACATGATAGCAAGGGAAATAAGACATTATAGCAAGTGAAATAAGCTAATACAAGCAAATACTATATGATTCCACTCATGGGAAGTACTTTGAAAAGTCAAAAGTCAGAGACAGGAAAAATGGAGATTACCAGATGCCAGGGAAGGAGAAAGGAAAGTATTGTTTATGAGCATGGAGTGACTGGGATAATAAGTTTCTAAAACTGGGTGGTGGTGATGGTGGACAATCATGAATGCATTTAATGCCGTTGAATTGTACACCTAAAAATGGTTAAAATCATAGCTTTAGGTAATGTGTATTTTACCACAATTTAAAGGAGCAGGGCAGGGAGCATAGTAGATAGTGGTCAGAATGGGACACTTGAAGTTTAGAATTCCAGGCTTTCACCGCAAGTGAGTTAGGGTTAAGATGGGGCTTGGCGGAAGCTGTGGGAATGAGTGGTGAAACAGAGTGGAGACTAAAGATCACTGACTGGGGAAGCGTGGTCAGGTGGAAGATCTTGGATGGGTGTGCACTTGGGTACTGACCTGACGAACAAGCCCCTCTCTTGACAGCCCTGCTTGCCCTGCACTACTCTGGCTCCCCTGAACATCTGGGTATCCTCCATCTTCTCTTCAACTCCCTTCAACCTAAATCTAACCCACTCTGACAATGGGGATGTTCTGTGAGAGCAAGGAACTTGTAAAACTCAATTTCTAGTCACTCATAACGTCCTCAGTTTGTCACAAATGCTCTCAATACTGATGTGTTTTCTTCCAGCCTTTATGTGTATGGTTTTCACATAGATATAGACTTGCATTCTGTTCCTTATCTCCCCATTATAACCATTTTTCCATATCATAGGATGCTATATATTCCTAGTGTCTATATGAGTAAGGACCTAATGATTAGGGGTTTTTAGTTATAAGTCATAGAGAGCAAATACGAGGGGTGAAGATTCACACTTGCGACCTTTTTCTCTCAGTATGAGTATCAGATGATAATTATAATCCTAAATATTGTTCACAGAAACTGTTAATGTGAAAAATGCTGACTGAAAAACAGCAAATCAAAGAAAAATAAAATATGATTTTTCCTTTAAAAATGAAAACTATGTAATTATGTAGACTGTTTACAGCATAACAGTCGTTATGCACATCGCTGTAATTTGAGTGAGATTAACTTCAAATTGTATTTGGTTCTAACAGCAACTCCTCCTCATAGTTAGTGATTCTGGTACTACAGATACTGCTTCACCAACCAGCAGACATTTTTCTTTAACCCACTATCACAGCACAAGCTATTATTTTCATCCTCAATAAAGACAGATGATGGCAGTCTTAGGTCAATAAGGATGGCAGGCTTGGATCAAGAAGTGTTAGGGGCTAGAGGTGGGACTCAGTGGTAGAGCACGAACATGGCAAGTTTGAGACACTAGGTTCAACCCCCAGCACCTGCCCACACTGCCAAAAAGTCTTAGAGCTGAATGATGCGGAAGTCAACATAAATTATAAGGCATAATCTCGTCCATCCTTGGTAATACAGAATTAGAGTACTATCCCGCTTCCATGAGATTTATTCTTGCTTTTTGTTTTTGTTTTTGTTTTTTTCCCCTAACTGTTCACTAGGAAGAACAAAGGCTTCTTCAGACTTTATGATATTACCAGAGCCCTCTGGGAGATTTTTGAATTATTAAATTGCAAACTTCAAAGCTGGTCCAACAGAAAAGCATGTTTTAAAAAAATCGCATCATCTGTAATTTGCATTTTATGTGTCATGTCATCATTTTTACTCTAGAAGAAATTATATAGCTGTTCAAAGCTTTACATTTTGTTATATTGTCAGCTGTTTCATTTAAGTGCTTATTATAACTGCATAACATAACAATTAATAGAAAAACTAAAGCGTGCTTTGCAGAGAGCTTAACTCCAGACATACAAGTATGTAAGATTTCCTGCATGCTCAGTAGTGTGTGTGTGTGTGTGTGTGTGTGTGTGTGTGTGCACATCTACATATGTGCTTATCTCTTCACCAAGGGAAAAAGTATAGTTGCGAGACAGCTGTCACTGTCTTGCGAAGGAAGGAATCAGCCTCCTTTCTGCTACAGAAGAAAATGCTGTTACTTGTTTGATGCCTTTATCCTAGCACAGTGAAGACAGGCTGAGGACTGCTGCCAGAAATGTGGAGGCACTCACAGTGAAGCTTGTGGAAGAAATGAAAGAATAACAACTAAGAGCATGCAGTTTTACAGGTGACCTGTGATTTTGTTCAGTGTTTTGCATTAAATTGGCACATTCAAAACTAACTTTAAATATCACTGTGCAGTTTTCTGAATGCTCACATGTAATTTTTTTTCCTTCCCATGAAACAGCGATAATCTGTTTTGGTTTCTGGTAGAGTCATGTGCAAATTCAAAATGCCTTTCGTTATCTCGATAAAGTCCTCCTAATGTCATCCTTGATGGGACTCTGTTCCTTGAAGAGTTAGAAACACGATTAGTCAGTGTACTGTGAGTGGGCCTGCTTTCCAAAGACGAGCTGGTATTCATTGAACTCATAAAGACGTATGTACGTAAACACCTACTTATTCATTGGCAATAAGAAATACAACTGCTAGAGGAATCAGACACATTTCCAGTGGTAGATGGATTATTTTATAGGCATATTATCCAGAAGCTAATTTTTTCCAGTTTTTAATTTTTTATTACTACATATTTACAGTACATCATGATTACATTCCTTGTGGGGAGTTGGTACATGTACATAATACATCTTAGTTTTGCTCATCCCCTTCCTCTCCCCTTATCCCCCCTTTCCACCGAAAGCTGAATTTTAATCAGATAATTACTTATGACCCTACATTCTTATAGCACTAAGATAGCCAGATTTCCACAGTGGGACTGTTTAGACCTGTCTGCATTTCTGGACCTCTTATATTCTAGGACTAGAGCACCTAGCACTTAGATGGGTAGGTAATATAATTTTTTTTTTTTACTATAGTCACTTTTTGATGTTTCTAATACTAATTTACCTACTTTCTGACATAGTCTTTCTTTAAATAAGCTACTAAATTATCTCAGGTTTCCTGGGGACCTCTCTCCCACATCTCAGACAAATAAATTGTTGATTTTTAAGGTTAGTTCTTGAAGGGTAATCCAGTTTCCAAATTCTTAATAATGCAACTCCTTTAGAACAAAAAGCAGAGAGGCCCGGGATTTAGCTCAGTGGTTTCACCGTCTGCCTTGCAAGCACAAGGAGCTGACTTCGATCCCCAGTACCAAAAAAGAACGAAAAGCAGAATAGCATAACAGAGCATGAACTTTAACATTAGTCCCCCAGGTGTTAGGGGAGTTGGTGAAAATTGCCTAGGGTGCCTTTTTGTCTATGCTTGGGCAATTTACTCAACTTTGTTGAGCTCAAAATTCTTCTTCTGTGAAATAGCTTCTTTAAAGAGTTTTTTGAGCCGGGTGTGGCGGTGCACGCTTGTAATCCGAGCACTCAGGAGGCTGAGGCAGGAGGATCGCTATGAGTTCGAGACCAGCCTGGGCTACATAGTGACTTCCAGGTCAGTCTCAACTACATAGTGAGACCCTGTCTCAAAAAAAAAAAAAAAAGTTTTTTGAGATTCGCACAAGTTAATATGTGTAAAACGTTCCACATAAGTACGTAACACCTAATCAGAATTCAGTAAAGTATAGCTATGATTAGAAATGAATATCATTGGTCCTGACATTTTAAAGAGGAGGAGATGAAGTTTAAGAAACTCCTGTGTTCTTTCTACCAGAACTTCTAGCACTTAGGTAGGTAATGAAAAAAAATTTTTTTTACTATTAACCACTTTTTGATGTTCCAGAATAAGTTGACTTAACGGACATATATTGAGGAAGTGTCCAATAGGTGTTCACACAATTAAGCATAACAGTTCAGTTATTTCGGCTGTCTACTTCTGAGCAATTTTTCATAGTCAAGAGTTCAGTGTCAGCCAGGGTGGTGGCCCCCTCAGCACTCTGGGAAGCTGAAAGAGGAGGATTGCAAGTTCAAGCACAGCCCTGGCAAATTAGCAAGACACCATCTCAAAATAAAAAATGATGGGGAAGTAGCTCAGTACAAGGGCCCTGGGGTTTGATCCCCGGTACAGCACACATGCACAAAGTTCAGTTCCTTGTTTTGCCCTACCTGAGTATGAATTCTAGATCCTATCTTATTTCTTGTGTGACAAAGCAAGACCTTTAGCTTTTCTAAGCAAGCCTGCTCCCTCGTGTAATGTGGGAGTATAATAGTCCCTTACAGTTGTGGTAACAAATATTTGACATCCTAAATATAGTGCCTGGAGCATATATATATATGTGTATATATATATATAGCTACATAAAGTTACATTTGTTAAGCTGTCTTATTAGCCATATTAGAGACTATTTTGAAAGACTACTCAAAGTTATTCTAATGTAATTATCTATTACCACTTCAAACATTTTAATCATTGGTTTTAGCATCACAGTAAACCATAATTATTGCATAGATTTCTTTCTGTCCATCAGTATTGTGACCATATTTTATAAAACACATATAAGGAGACAGTTTGAAATGATATGTTACTGAGGAGAAAACTTTATGACTGTTTCAAAAATTTGTAGTCAAGTATGATGATATGTATGGGAAACACAGTGTCTGTGATAACAAGACAATTGGAAGGAAATGGAGTTGGGGGCAGAAAGTGAAAGATACACTTAAGGAAAGCTGGGTTTTCTGTTTATTTCTCCAACTGTAGTCATGATGGAAATGTGATCTAATGGCTTTTACTGACTTGGACTTTTAATACAGTTAAAATATGAGCCATGGACTAAGAGTAAGAAAATGCATTGTTTTCTTTTTAGGTGAAAGAATACACAAACCATGTAATTTACCAGAAGGAAAAGAACCATTTCTCATGGTTATGAAAAGGAACATGAACAGCTTGGATGTGAATTTAAAGAGCTGCAACTCAAACGGTAATTTTTCTGTTTGTGAAAATATAAACTTTTATTTTTTCCAATTGAAAACGTTAATATGTGACAGTTGAAGAAAATTTGGAGGATGTATAGAAGTAGAATAAGGGGAACAATTACTGTATATGTTATCCCAAGAAAAATACTTCTTATGTTTTAGTTATATTTTCTGGCTCTATTTGGACATAGTCCGAACTGTGCATGTGAGAGAGTGTAGGTGTTAATTTTTTTCAATGTCTACCCTAGCACTTACCACACTGTACCATAATTACCCTGTCAGCCCTTCTGGAATAGAGATCACATCCTAGGTTTCGTGGTTTCCCCATAGCCCTTACTTTGTAAAGTACCTAGTGTAGGGAAGGCAAAACTTTACCTCTTCTCTTTTTGCTTTTTTTTTTTAAATTTTTTTGTCTTTTACTGGGCTCAGGAATTCATATGTCAAATTCATAGGAGAAAAGCATACCGATTTATTAAACACAGCTTCCTGTCCTTTGTGATAAGAATGTTCCTAAAGAATGCTTACACACCTGTAAGTGTGGGAGAGGTATGTTAGAGGATAGATCACTGGAACTTATCGGTGAAAGGACTCAGAAGTCAGGGTACCGACTGGAATAATTATCTACCTGAATACTGAAAATACCAAGAATCATTGGCAGGATCAGTTGAATGACCATGGACAGGTTATTTGGGTAATTGGTGCCTCAATCTTCACACCTTCAGTGGGGATAGTAATGGTTCCTATCTCTATTGGGCTGATGTAAGGATTGAGATAAATGTATCTCAAGTCATTAGTATAATACCCAACACATATTAGGTGCTCAATAAAATGACAAAGATATGGGTTAAACAAAAACTCAAATTTGAGCCTCTATTAAATTTTTCAAAAAAGGATACCCTTGACTTTTATTAAATGAAAAATTTTAAACTGTACAACAGAAAGAATATCAACTGTTTTTGAGAACCTTTTCTCACTATTTTTTACTGTTGTTTCTCAAAGTTTTAAATGCTCTGGAGAGATGGAGAGAAGAGTGTTAGTATTGATATAGCTTATTTTAAAAATTAATTTAAAAATCAAGAACTCACTCAATATCTTATAATTGTTTATTTGTTTGTCTGTTTTTGCTGTGTAGTTCAGGCTGGCCCTGCATTTTCTATGCAGCCCTAGCTAACCTTGAACTCACAGGGATCCTCCTGCCACAGCCTCCTGAGTACTGCTTATAAGAAGTTATTTGTCTGTGTTTCCTTTAACACTTTGGTTTGTTTGGTTGGTTGGTGTTTGGTTTTTTTGAGACAGGGTCTCACTATGTAGTTGAGACTGACCAGGAACTCACTATGTAGCCCAGGCTGGTCTTGAACTCACAGCGATCCTCCTGCCTCAGCCTCCCAAGTGCTGGGAATACAGGCATGTGCCACCACGCCCGGCTTCCTTTAACACTTTTGTTTCTGTTACTTATTCCCAACAGAAGCCCACGTAAAGGAATCTGAAGAAAGGTCGTATGAAGAAGGCTTGTCCAAAAGAGCTGTGAACAGCCCTAATGAACAGATTGCATACTTACTGGTGGAAAGAAGTACACTCTTGGGGAAATTGGAACTTACGGACTCTAAGACAGACTCTCAAAAACATATGAGCAGTAACTTACAGAAAGAATTCCCCCAGGTATTGTAAAATCAAATAAGGGCAGGCCAGTTTAAAATGTATTCATTCATTTAATCATTCATTCATTCAAATATCAGGAAGCCAGTTTAATCATGTTTAAGAATACAGGCTTTGGATTTAAAAACATCTCCTCTATCACTTATTAGCAGTATGTGTTAGAACAAGTTAACTAACTTTTGTGAGCCTCAATTTCCACATCTGTAAAATCTGGCATCAACTCACGTACTCCACAAGGTGATCGTGAGAATGGCATAACAATGTATGTAAAGCTCTAGAATATTTCATACTTATTAATTAGAAGTACTATTTATTGAGAATTTATCATGCGCCATCTGTGTACTACTGGGTGTAGAAACAAATTCAAATTAAACTTGATCTAGACTTGCAAAGAATTTATAAACTAATAGAGGAAAGACATAAGCCAGGGGTTATGATTCAGTACAGCTAATTCTAGGCTAAGGAAGGCACAGAAAGCTTAGAACACTCAGGAGAAAGGGCTAGAATAACCAGAAAAGGCTTTCAGAGGAGATGATGTTGAGTAGTGTTTTGAAAGCTGATTACACATTAGCTAGGTGAAGAGGCTGGGGAGGGCATTCCTGGCAAAGGGAACAAAGTGGTGAATACACCTTGGATCTTGTGACTAAATGCTGAGAAATGTGGCTGGAGTCAGCTTCAAGAACCACATCCTGATAAGGCCCATAGGCTAAGCCAAAGACTTGGGATCTGGCACCCATGATGCTCGTGGACCATGCATACGTAGGCACACATGCTTACATGCACGCACAAGCACACACACGCACACACTTTATGTGGCACTGGGGATTAAAGCCAGGACCTCATGCATGCTAGGTAAGCACTGTACCTCTGAACTAAATACCAAGCTCTTTTATTTTTAAATTTTGAGACAGTGTCTTGCTAAATTGCCTAGGCTGGCTTCTAATTTGTAATCATCCTACATCACCTCCCAAGTAGCTGGGATTACAGGTAGGTACTGTCACCCAGCTATAAGTATATTTTTGAATGAAGAAATGATTAACTTTGTTTTAGAAGGCCTGAAGAGTCACTAAATAGTTTTAAGAGGAGAATTGACAGTCTGATTTATGTTTCAGAAAAATCACTCTAAATTTAAAAGACTAATCATCAAGTGTTGGTGAGAATGTGAAACAACTGGATTCTCAAATCCTACTGATAATAGTATAAAATGATACAACTATTTTGGAAAATAGTTTGTCATTTTCTTATAAAAAATTAAGCATACCATCAAACTCTGCCCTTCAAGAGAAATGGAAATATTTGCACACTCGAAAATTTATACATGTCCTATAACAGCTTTAATTGTAATAAGCCCAAAACTGGAAACAATTCAAATGTTCATCTACAGATGTATGTATTGATCCATACAAGGGACTATTACTTAGTGATTAAATAAGAATAAACACAAAATGGATAAATCTCAATTATCTGAGCGAGAGACAAAATGAATATATAATCTGTAATTCCATTTATCTAAAGTAGTAGAGGATAGCCAAGCATGGTGGGACACGCCTGTAATCCCAGCACTTGGGAGGCCGAGGCAGGAGGATCTCTGTGAGTTCGAGACCAGCCTGGGCTACATAGTGAGTTCCTGGTCAGTCTCAACTACATAGTGAAACCCTGTCTCAAAATAAGTAAATAAATAAAATAAAGTAGTAGAAGATAAAAGTTAGCATGTAGTAATAGGAACAGATTTGGTTGCTTAGAGACAATGGCAGGAAATGAACGCATTACAAGGGGGCATAGAAACTTTTTTGGAGTAATGGATATTTTCCTTATTTAAGTTGTATTGGCTTAATGAAGGGTATACATGTAACAAAAAATATACACTGTAAATACATGTAGTTGATTATATGGCAATTACACATTTGAAAAATTTTTAAAGAAATGTTCCAAAGATGATTTTACAATTTGAAATGTAGCTTGTTAAAATTTTGTTGCCTCCTTAATTATATTTTGTGCAAGCTAATTTTAACTAATCCATGCTTAAAGCAAGTAGGAGAGTCATTCCAATCAAAAGGGACCTTATACAATGATGAATGTAGTTATACTGTATACCTAAAATGTACCCATAAATTCAATGAGAAAAAAAAAGGGACCTTCTATTATGACTTGGAAGCCCAAGGAATTTAGCAGGGCCTGATCTATTTGCCAATCATATTTGAAATAATATTTATTTAAATTTTGTTGATTTTTAAACTCAAAGCACATAGTTAAAAAATACAAGCAAAATAAAGTAGAAAAAAAAAGTCATCTCACCCAAATACTCAATTCTATACTCCTAAATTAACTATTACCAACAATTTTTAATGAAACATTTTAAAATAAATGCATGATCAGTTTTTATTTTTCCTTTCTGAAAATTTCCATTCATTTAAAATACAAACACACTGGCCTTGAACTCCCAGCAGTCTTCCTGTCTCGGTCTCTTATAGGGGCGCACACCACAGGGGTGACAACATGTATATTCTTATTTATGGGTGTAGCAAAAGGTATGTAACTACTTTTTTGTTGGGTGGCAGAGAATGAAGAGATGACATTTAATGCCAGTAATAATCAAATATTTCTTTTAAAATATTGTGAAATATATCATATATGAAGAAAAATGATAAAACTTATAAGCATCATCTAACAAATGTAGAGAAAACAGCCTTGTAACTATGAGCCCTGTCAAGAATACGTTGCTGATACCTTAGAAGCTCCCTTTATGTCTTTTTTAAAATAACAACCTTTGTTCCCCTCACAAAGGTCTTTATCCCTAAACAATACATAGATTAGTATACTTTTGCCTATTTTTGAACATTATTCTCTATAAACTAGAGAATCAAATGTTGTATATTTATTCTTTAAAGAGAATCAAATGTTGTATATTTATTCTTTAATCAGCTTGCCACTGTTATATATTATTCCATTGGGTGAATGTTACATTGTCCACTCTACATTGACTTCACATTTCCTATTTATATCTGTAAAGAACATACTATTATCTGTTTATTTCATTGCTATGATCAGAATGTAAAAAATTCAGCTGGGCATGGTGGTGCTTGCCTGTAATCCTAGCATGGAGGAGGCTGAGGCAGGAGGATCGCCATAAGTTCAAGGGCAACCTGGGCTATATAGTAAAAAAAAAAAAGATGGTAAATTTTAAAAAAGGGCTGGGGATATGACTCAGTGGTAAGACACTTACCTAGGAATATAGAGAAATCTTCCTGTTATGATATTAAATTTTTGTTTGTTTGTTTTTGTGGTACCAGGAATTGAACTCAGGATCTTGTGCTTGCAAGGCAGTTGCAGTACTGCTGAGCTAAATTCCCAGCCCTATGGTATTAAATTTTAAAAAGCCAGAGAAAAAAAAAGCACATAGATTGGAATTATGGCTGTAAAAAAAAAAGTATGTTAATAAAAAGTACTTCAAAGAAATAGAGTAATATGTTCAACATGGTTTTGATATATAGATGGTATTTTGGGTTTTTAATCTCAGAAAAAATGGTATAATTATACAATATTCTCTTTTGAAGATCAAAAACAAAATATAATTGAGACTAAATTTCTCAACTCTTAAAATCTTTTAAAATAATTGCAAAAGAGGAGCTGTAAACATGATTTGAGACTTGTCAAGTATATGCACACTGTGACATTAAATACTTTATGTGAAAGCATTTTGTAAACTGTATTTAATGTATCATGTAAATAAGAAACATCATCTCTCTTTTTTTATTATATGTTTTTATGTTTAAGTTACTGATTTTTAGAACCACCTAAACATATGAAATTATATATTTACAAGTAAAAACAAACATCACCAATTTTATTTAGTTTAACCTAATCAAAGAAATGTACATGAATGACATGTTTTTTACTTTTTATCAGCTTTTAAATATTATAGAAAATACAGCAAAATATCATACAAGTACAATTTGTGGTTTGTTTTATCACTAACAGTAGTTTTATTTCAGTCTCATAATGAAGACCTGGATAAAGACACAACATCACAAAACTGCCTACAGAGAAATGCTGAACAGAAAACACACAGGTTGGGGATGGCCCAGGAAGAGATCCAAAGGCTCACCGATAAACTACAAATGAAGGAGAAAGAACTGCATAAATTAGGTAAACTGTGATTTCAGGTGACCATTTCTGGCCATGTTTTAACTTCACTGATCTTTTCTCAAGGTAAACTGTGTAAGAAGTAAACTGAGAAGAAAAATATTTTTAAATGAATATGTAAAAGTTTGAAGAACAGCCTCAAGGCCCAGAAATTTTCACTGAAGCATAAGCTAATATATCTACTAAAAAGTACATAACTCATAAATGTTATGTACTCATAATAAGAAATTCCAAGCATCCCAGAGACCTCCTATTTTTGTTATCACAGCTCAACCCAAAATAGCCACCATTCATACTTTAAGCACTACTTCTGGGTTTTGACTTTATGGAGATGGCATTCTTTGTTTTTGGGTACAGGGGATTGAACTCGGGACCTTACTTTTGAGAGGCAGACAGTGGAACCATTGAGCTAAATCCCTGGCCCGAGAAGGCATCTTGTGTTTGTGAGATTCACTGGTATTGCTGCATGTAGCAACTTGTAACCCTTGCTGTTTTTATAATATTCCATTAATAAACATTTTAATTTGTTTTTCCATTCTACTCTTGATGGACATTTGGGCTATTTCCTACTTGGGCCTATCAGGAGTTCTCATGCTATGAACATTTTTGTACATACCTTTTGGTGTACTTATCTACATATTTCTGATTAGGATAAGAATAAAATTACTGAGCTGAATGCAGTAACACACACCTATAATCCCAGCTACTCTACAGGCTGAGGCAGGAAGATCACAAGTTCAAGGTCAGTCTGGGCAATTTAGTAAAACCCTGTCTCAAAAATAAAAAAGACTGAGGATATGGTTCACTGGGAGAGTATCTTTGGATTCAATTCCCAGTACCTGCCACACACACAAATAGAATCACTAGATCAAAGATTATAGACATATTCTGATGTAGCCTCGCAAAATACAGTCACACATCACTTAACAGTGGAGATTTGGATCAGGCGTGGTGGCTCATGCCTGTAATCCCAGCACTTGGGAGGCTGAGGCAGGAGGATTGCTATGAGTTCGAGACCAGCCTGTACTACTTAGTGAGTTCCAGGTCAGTCTCAACTACATAGTGAGACCCTGTCTCAAAAAACCAAAACCAAAACAAAACAAAACAAAACGGAGACTTGTCCTGAGAAAGAGTCATTGGGTGATTTCCTAATTGTATCAACCTCATATAGTGTGCTTATAAGAACTACAGTTTCACTAAGTGATACAATTTTATAGGGCTGCCATCACATACGTGGTCCACTGTTGATTAAAACATCATTTTGCAGCACGTGACTACAGTTGTGCTGATTTAAGCTTTCCTCAGTGGTCCACGGGATATGGGCTGCTCCACACTGTCAGTTCCCTGGATTGCCAGTCTTTACCTCTTGTGCTACGTAGTGGTGCTCAGTCTCTGGTGCCAAATGCAGTTAGAAACTCAGCGAGTTGGTTGTTACTCGCCTGGATGTACTGTTTTGTGAAGTTCCTCCCCTAGGCTCTTATATATTTTTCTATTATGCTGTATTTTGGTTCTATAGGCATCTTTATTCTGAATATGAGCCTTTTTTGAGCCTTTTGTTGGCTATCAAAGTTATTTTTTTTTCCATGTAGAAATGCTAATATTTTTTTAACCCACTTATCCTTTTGTACCTTTCTGGGTTTTCAGGTGTAGTCTCCCTTCCCCTCCCCCTCCTCTTCCCCTTCCCCTTTCCCTCCTTCTTCTCCCCCGACCTCTCTTTTTCTTTTTTCTTTTTTTGGATTTTTTGAGACAGGGTCTAGCTATGTAGTTGAGACTGACCTGGAACTCACTATGTAGCCCAGGCTGGTCTCGAACTCACAGCGATCCTCCTGCCTCAGCATCCCGAGTGCTGGGATTACAGGCATGCACCACCATGTTAGGCTTTCTTTCTTTTTTTCTATCAGTCCTGGAAGCTGAGCCCAGGAAGATATATGCCAGGTAAGTATTCTACTACTGAACTGCATTCATAGCCCACATGTGTAAAGCCTTTTCTTCACTACAAGATTTGAAAATGTTTGCTCCTTGTTTGTTTAGTATTTTTATGGCTTTTTGTTTGTATTTAAATTTTTGCTTTATCAAGAATTTTGTTTAGAAGCCAGGTGTGGTGGCCTACGCCTGTAATCCCAGCACTGGGGAGGCTGAGGCAGGAGGATCACTGTGAGTTGGAGACAGTTCCAGGTCAGTCTCAACTACATAGTGAGAGCCTGTATCAAAAAAACAAAACAAAACAAAAAAAAAGAATTTTGTTTAGTATAAAGATTAAATTTTTTAAATTATCTCTCTTTTATATTTATAATTTGAGATCAAAGAACTCAGACTGATTCTTTTTCACATAATTTTGTTTTTTGGGTTTTGCAGTGTGGGGAGCGTTATACTGGGGATCGAACTCAGGTTCTTGCGCTTCCAAGGCAGGTGGTGGCACGACTGAGCTAAATCCCTGGCTTGGTTCTTTTTTCAAATTCAATATACATGTTACTTTAGAGCCATAAACATTTTGTAAAAAGCCAGGCACAGTGGTGCACCTCTAACTCCAGCTACTCCAGAAGCTGAGGCAGAAGGATCACAAGTTTGAGGCCTGCCTGGGCAGGCAAGTTAGTTAAATGCTGTCTCAAAATAAAAAGGGCTAGGGAGGTAGCTCAGTGGTAGAGCACTTGCCTAGCATGTGTTGGGGACGTGCATTCAATCCTGGTACTTAAAAAAAAATTCAAAGACAAACAGTTATTTGAAATTTGCTCCACACTCATCATTTGCCTCTCCCCCAGTGCTGAGTACAGAATTTAAGGCTTTGTGCCTTCCAGGCCAGCGCTCCACCACTGAGCTATGCCACTAGGCCTCATTTTCTTCTTACACAAATATTTTCTTCCTGTTTTCTTTTAGATTCTGACCTTGAAAAAGCTCAACTAGAAATTGGGAAACTGAAAGAAAATCTGATAAAACTGAAAGAAAAGGGTAAGTCATTCCAGCAGATATAATACATTAAATAATAATATATTATTTATGAACTATTTCTAAATAACATAATTAAAATAATAAGTACTACTATTAGTGTTGCTACTGCTACTATAGCTGTTACTCCTTCCACCACTTATTCCCTACTAAATGTCTGCACTGTCCATATATATCTCTAATACAACAATTCCAAATGGTGATTATTATTCTTCCCATTTTGGAGGGCCAGGGATTTGGCTCAGTGGTTCAGCAGCCTGACTCACAAGTGCAAGGTCCAAAGTTTGATCCCTGGTTCCAAAAAAAAAAAGACTCAGGGCAAGGTTAAGTGAATTTAGCCTATAGCTACACTCCATATCACAGCTGGTGTTTGAAAGCTTTTGTCTGACCAAATCATACATATTTTACTAGGACCACAGAGCAATTTCCCTTATAATGCATATAATGACACTTCAAATATTTGTTCACTGGGAAGCCAGTAGTTTGGAATCAGTTGTGCATTAGTTAATCTGACCTTAGTCTGGCTTTCTAAAAGTGCAGCCAGCTATCAAAATTATTATAAAACTTGAGTGTTTCAATGATAAAAACTATAAATTATATTTACCACTTTTATGTAATTCCAAAAGTAGTTATAACCTCCTTTTCAAAAATATGTGAATGTGATTATAAAATGAACACTGCTTTTGAATATGATTATAAAATGAACCAAGCAATCAGAAAACAATAAAGATACAGAAGACCTAAAAATACTACCAACCAATGGGACCTAGTGGATATTTATAAGAAACTGTACCAGAATACATGTTCTTTTCATGTACCTGTGAAACATTTGCTAAGAGAGAACCTCTTGAGCCAACAAAGGAAATTTATGTGGAAAATCTGAAATCATACAAATTACGTCTTTGACCATAATGGAATTAAACTAAAAACCAGTTATAGAAATTTATTTCAAAAATCTTCAAATATTTAAAAATTAAACAAGGTATTTATTAATAGTCCATGCCCTTGCAGAAAAAAATTGTGGAAGATATCAGAATAGATTTTGAAATTAGTGAAACAAAAATATGGCATTTTTAACATTTTGTGAAGGTTGCAGCAAATTCACTGTGTGTTGGGACTCCTATTATATTTAATGTTTATATTAGAAATTAAGAAATGAGCCGGGAGTGGTGGCGCATGCCTGTGATCCCACCACTCAGGAGGCTGAAGCAGGAGGATCACTGGGAGTTCGAGACCAGCCTGGGCTACATAGTGAGTTCCAGGTCAGACTCAACTACATAGTGAGAGAAACCTTTTCAAAAAAAAAAAAAAAAAAAAAAAAAAAACCCAGAAATTAAGAAATGACATAAAATAATGTAAACTTAACATCATAAATACCCAGAATAAGAAGAGCAAACTACATCTAAAGCAAGCAAAAGAAAGGAGATATTATTAACATAGGACTTAAATCAAATACAACTACAAATGGGACTACAATAGAGGAAATCAATGGAACCAAGAGCTAGTTTTTCAAAAAGATCAATACCACTGATAAATTCCTAACTAGATTGATCATGTCAAAAATACAAATCAATTTGTGTTAATGTTAATGAAAGAAAAAATATTTTTATAGGCTAAAGAGATAGTAAGAAAATATTAAAATAACTTTGTGCCAATAAGTTTGATGGCCCGAATGACATGGAAACATTCTTTGCAAAACAAACTACCAAATTTCATTCAAGAAGAAATAGCCCTAAGTCCATTAAATAAATTGAATTCTTTTTTTTTTTTTTTGGTACTGGGGATTGAACTCAGACCTTGTGCTTGCAAGGCAAGCGGTCACACCACTGAGCTAAACCTCTGACCCTTGAATTCATATTTTAAAATATTCCCACAAAAAATATTCTAGGCTCAGATGCCTTCATTAATGAATTCTAATATACATGGAATAAATAATACTGACTTTATATAAACCCTCACAGGCCAGGGATTTGGCTCAGTGGTGCCACCAGCTGCCTTGCAAGCACAAGGTCCTGAGTTTAATTCCCAGTACCACAAAAAAAAAAAAAAAGGAAGCATAATTTAAAAAGTTAAAAGAAAAAGTTGAACCAGTTATAAACCCTCACAGAAAACTGAAGAAAAGTAATTTCTAACTTTTTAAGTAACCAGCATTACTCTTGATGCCAAACACTGTTAGACATTTCAGTATCTCTAATGAACATAGATGGACTTGTAAAATTACAGATAGTAAGAAGTAATACATTGGATAATCAGACAGAATGTGCTTACAAGAATGGACTGGTTAAGAATGACATAAAGATATGTGCACTAATACAAACAGATGTCTGTGATAGATTATCAAGTGAAAAAAGCAAGTTGTAGAGTAGTATGTGTGGTATAACGTCAATTAGGTTTTCGTATTTGAGGGTAGGGATGTGAATGTATCCACAGGCTGGCTACTCTGAGCTGAAATACACTAGTGTGGCTTTAGAATTGTGATGATGCTGGGCTGATTTCATGTAAGTTGTAAGTAGCTGCTACCCTGAGTCTATAATCATTTGTGATCAATAAAACAATAGTTGTTCCAATTATTCCATTATTCCAATGTACTTTTAAAATTTGTGAAGATTAAACCTACTGGTAGTATTCACTGTGGGAAAATGAGCAGTATCATACTCCATTGTAAGAGTGTAACTTTGTGCAATTTTTTGAAGAGTAATTTGGCAATATTGACATATTTAAAAATGTATTTTTATTTACCTATTAAACATTTTTTAAATGCACAATTCCTCTGACCCTGCTAGCCCATTTCTGATCCTTTTTGTTTGTTTTTTGGATCCGAGAACTTTTTTAATTTCTATTTTTATAAGTATTTTGCAGTAATGATGATTGCATTCATCACGGGGAGTGTTAGATGTAGATAATACATCTTAATTCTTTTTATGCTCCCTTCCCCTCCCTCTGTTCTCTTTCCCTCCATCTCTTAATCCTCTTCTTTTTATAAAAGATCTGTCTCCCTGCTTTCTATTATTTATTTGTCCTGAAAATTGTGGAATTTGGTTTTTATAATAGTTTCATAAGTACTTAAAGATTGATGAACAAAGATAATGATTTCAGCATTGTTTGCAAGACTTTTGCAACAACCTAAATCAAAATAGTGGTAGGTAAAGAAAAAAATGACACATTTTATGGCACATTTGGGCAGAAGAATCCAGAATTAAATAGGAAATGGAATAGAAATTGTGCTATAAGATTGAATATTACTCAGCAGTAAACAGGAACAAACTAATGATACAAGAATACAGAAGAATCTCAAGGTTATATTGAATGAAAGAAATTAGGCACAAAAAAGGAAGAAATTAGGCACAAATAATACGTAGATTGTAAGATTCCATTTATATGACAATCAAGAAGCCAAACTAATCTTTGGAAATAGAATTCAGAAAGTAGTTGTAGGGATAAATGCGAGTAGAAAACTCAGTGGAAAACACATGAGGGAAATAGCTGCAGTAATGAAAATGTTCCGCTCGCTTTTTCGGTGACATTCATGGATATGTGAAATTGTCAAAGTTAACTGGACAGAACATTAAGATATGTTCATTGTATTTTATGTAAAATACACTGCAATTGGAAAAATAGAATGGGGAAAAAAAGCTTTGTAATGATTGATTTGTTACAATGAAACTTAACCACTCATGGTTAAGTTGCAGATAGTAATGGATAGCATTCAGTTTCTTAAATGTTGCACAGTCAAAGGTAAAATCCTACCATTTATGTGTTGGTGTATATGTGTGTTGTGTATCTATGTACACTGTATATTTTTTAAAGTATAATTGTGAATGATTATTAGTGTATATTCAACGTTTCTCAAATTAAAAATAATTCTAAGGGACAAAATATCAAGCAAGGGAGAAATAAAAGAAAAATAAAGAAAGAAAAATTAATACAGGATAAAAATGAAATAAGCAATAAAGCAGGAAAGCAAAGATGACTTTAAAGCAGCAAAAGGAAAACATAAGTAAAACAATGGCTAAGAAACAAAGTTATAGGCAGCAAGTTTAAATTATTGAAAGCTTGATGAGTGTTAATCTTAACAGGTCTTGACTGAGGTGCTAAGCTGAGAATGGACCATTATTTTATGTGCAATGGTAGAAGCAGAGAGATGGATTTAAAGGATTGACTTCATTTAACTTGGAAAATCTGACCATTCCTTGCCCTTAGCCCACCACTTCAGTCATCTATGGAGCCTACTGTTGATGAGTGGAAGTGTCTAGGAGTATCTCAGATGTGTAAAAGATAGGACTAAAAGGAAGCTAGGAAGATCATTTTCTCAATCATTTAACTTTTAGAAGGTAAGTTCATCTGTTTTAAAATTCCAGTTCCTAGAAGTCTGTGTTGCTAGAAAGGCTACACTCAAAAAGTCCAATTCATTAGTCTAGTGTGAGAAATAAAAAACTTTCTGTTCTGTTTCAGTAGGTCGGGAGAATATTCCAGGGCTTGACTTGAGAGTAAGTGGATTTCCTGTGCAGAGCCACATGTGCACAGAGGTGGTAGGACTGAGAAGAGAGCTGAACATTGCACTCCATAGGTTAAGCATTAATTTTAAATGCTTCCCAAACTAATACTCTGATACAGATGAACAAACTGTGTTCTTGTCTCTGTTTTAGATACAACCGACCTACAGAAAGCAAAAGAACATAATCAGAGACTGGATGAGGAAATCTTAGCTTTAAGAAATCGGGTTCGATCACTTGACTCAGAAAAAAAATTTCTTGGAGAAATGGTAAGTGTATTGGTTAGGGTTCTCCAGACTACACAATCAATGGAAAAAATATATATCTGCATATAATTATGCATGAAGACTTATTAAATATACTTACAGGATGAAAGGTGAGATAGTCCACAGGGGCTGTATGCATTCCAGGAATCTAGCTGCTCAGTCCAAGAAGCTGGAAGCCGCAGAACTAGAGGGCTTAAGGATGCAGGACCAGTGTCATACTGAAGCCCTAGAAGCTCCTTGGAGAGCTGCCCTTATGAGTCTGTGTTGAAAGATTTTGGAAACTGGAGTCTGATGTCTACAGGCAAGACATGCATCCACTGAAACAGAACAGACCTTGTTATAATTACAGGCCATCTTCTTCCTCTTCCCCTTCATTCCATCCAGGATGCAAGCCGATTGGATGCTGTCACCTGCAGGGGGCTGATCAGATCCTTGGATACCTATGTGTGGGGGGACAATGGGGAATAAAAAGAGACAGAGACAATATTCAAGGTGCACGGGGACTGGGAAATGTCTGCCCCTAGTGGATAGACTCAACATTCTCCACAGATGACACACTTTAGCCATCAAGAAGAGTAGGGGGAAAGGGTCATACAAAATTCGTGGAACAATAATGGTTGAAAAGATATTTTGAACAATAGGGAACAAGTTAAACTTTTACAAGGGGAGTATGTGAAAGGGAACAGGTTCTTCCCTATACCCAGATGCCTACCCAAGTTAATAAGGAACTAGCATTCCTTACATTGTCCTCAGTAGATATTATCTTACCATGGGAGTACTGTGATTACAAGCATTCCCCACACACCCAGAAAGCATACAGCCTTCAATATGCTTTTCTGTTCCCCCAGGGCAGGTTACATCAGCCTCAAGACTGGGGCATAAGTCATACAATTTAGCCCCACTAATTACATATCCTGGTCCCCAATAGTCACCTTCATCAGGGTGGTTCTTCCTGATCAGTTTGCTGACCCATGTGCCGGTAATCTGGACGCTCCCACAGATGTGCCCAGCAATGTGCCTTACTAATTTTCTAGTCTGTTAATCCAGTCGATCTGACAATTACCATTAACTGCCACAGTAAATTTAGCTCTTGGAATGTATTTATTGTGTATGCAATAGCAGTCAGCAGCTTGAGTAACACAGATATACATCACCTAAATTCATCCTTAGGGAGAACAGGTACTGGGAGCTATAATATCTCAAGTAGGTGCCATACTATAATTTGACCTAAGTGCAAACTATCAGTTTTTATATTTTATAGATTTTATAGATATATCAGTGTATAGATTTTATAGCTGTATGTATTAAGGAGTAACATGATTGCTATTGTATGAACCTAGAATCTTTTCTTTTTAGTAAGCTTACAGTTTAACCCATTTAGCAAATATAAAATATGACTCTTATTTGGAAATGTTTGAGATTATTAACACTAAACCCTTACTTGTATTCTTTTTAAACCATTTTTTCTTAGCAATTTATTTGTTTTAATATATACTTTTTCCACATTCTATTGTCTCTTCAATTTTAGTTTATACTCATTTCACAATTCTACTTTTAATGTGAAACACAGTATTAGCCTTGCATAATATGAGACACTGAAGAAATTTTGTTTTGCAAATGAGTAAATACCCATCGGGCTAATCGTTGTTAAAATAATAGAAAGAAACACATGTTGATGAGGATGTAGAGCAATTGGAGCTCTTGTGCATTGCTGATAGAAATGGAAACTAGTGTGGTCACTGTAGAAAACAGTATGGAAGTTCCTCAAACAATTAAGCCAAAAATTACCTCTTCTAATTTCACTTTCTGGGTATATATACCCAAGAAACTGAAGCAGGGACCCGAACATGTATTTGTACACCCATGCTCATAGACTCATTATTCACAGCAGCCAAAAGGCTGCTGAGATGTGGTGACATATTCCTGTAAATCCAGCACTTCGGAGGCTGAGTCAGGAGCAGATCCCGGACAACTTAACAACATAGCAAGACCTTGTTTCAAACACCAAACAATAAGAGGGGGTAGAGGGCCGGGGATTTAGCTCAGTGGTTCAGTGGCCTGCTTTGCAAGTGCAAGGACCCAAGTTCAATCCCTGGTACCAAAAAAATAAAAAATAAAAATAAATAAAAGGGGGTAGAGATGTAGCTCATTATGAACTCTCATTCCCAGTATTGAGAGAAAAAAAAAGTAGAGGCAACTGAAGGGTCCATTGATAAATAAGAAAGAAAAATATGGTACATATATATATATAGTGGGATATTTTTCAGTCTTAAAACAAGGAAATTCTGACTCATAGTTCAACATGAATAAATCTTGAACAGAGTATGGTAAATATATTAAGCTAATCACAAAAGAACAATAGTGTATGACTCTGCTTATATGAGGTACTTTCAGTAGCCAGAATCATAGAGTACAGTGGTAACTGCTGGGGGCTGCAGGGAGGAGTAATGTTGAGCATTGTTTTATGGGTATAGTTTCAATGCAAGGTGAAGAGAGTTCTAGAGATGGATGGCTATACAGCCATGTGAATGTGCTTCCTGCCACTGAACTGTATACACCTAAAAATGTTTAACACGCTATATTGTGTGTTATGTGCATTTTGTAACAAAGAAAAATACAATTTTGAACAAATGAAGATTTTTCAAGTTATCCTAGTCTTTGTAATTATACCTAATATCTACAAATACATTTAAATGTTTAATACAAGTATGTGTACACATGAAAAAAGCAAAGAAAGGGTGCATCCAAAGCAGTGCTACTTTTGGAAAGAGAAGTATTGTGAAAATATTACTTTTTATCCTATATATCTATGTGCTATTGAAGTTTTACAAGAAGAAGGTATTTATGTATTACTTATATGTTTAGGTGTTTTGTTTTGTTTTGTTTTTGAGACAGGGTCTCATTATGTAGTTAAGACTGACCTGGAACTCATTGTGTAGCCCAGGCTGGTCTTGAACTCACAGTGATCCTCCTGCCTCAGCCTCCCGAGTGCTGGGATTACAGGCATGCGCCACCACGCCTGGCTACTTATATATTTTTAAAAGCAAAGCAAATATGTAGTTAAAAATTGAGAAGCCTACTCAAGGCTACTTTTGTATTTAAGGTTGAAAAACTTAAAGCTGGGATGTGTGAATCTCCAAACAATAAGCAACTTGGAAACCACTCCCCTGAAAAACCAGCAAGTGCTGAACACAGAGTACAGGTATCTTAAAGTTCTGCATTTTCTGCTTTCTCACTTTTAAATAAGTTACATTTCTACAGAGTGTACTAGAGCAATTGATGCCAATCATTTGCTACTTGCTTCTTACTGAATTTTTCTATTGTTTAGCCAAGTAGAGTGAAAGAAGAAATTGGGATACAGGTGTCATTTCTTCCCCACAGAGAACAATTAATTTTAAGAATATGGTAGATTGTTTCTTTAAAAAGAAAAATGTGTCATATAATAATATAACAAATAGCATTTTAAATCATCAAAGAGAGCTATTTATAGAATCAACCAGTGGTAGTATGTGGGTTGCCGGAACTGTACTGAATATAATTAAATGTTGTAGACAATTAATAAGCAGAGGCTGCCGTGTGTTCAGCATCTAGTTCTTCATGACCAGCCATTAAAGTGCTGAGCAAAGCAACCACACTCAAGATAGACTGAAGGGCCATTGTGTCTCTAGCAGAGACGTGGTAGTAAGCCGTCATGGTTTTAACTGCCTTTTTTGAGGGTATCTAATAACAATGGATATATTTCATTCGCTCTTTGACTCTGCATATGTCCTTTTGTAAGGCATTTGCTCACATCTTTTATTCATTCTTAGTGGTTTCAAATGCATTCTTTACATTGAGTTGTAGGCGTTATGTATTTTGAATATATTGAAATATATGTAGTATAGTTATTTTCTACCAGCTTACACCACGTGTTTTTATTTTCTTAATAGAGTGTTTATGAAAAGTAAAGGTTTTAAAATTTTGATTCATCAGTGTTTTCTTCTTATAATTTTGTGATAGAATATAAAATGCCTAGCTGTTTTTTTGTTTTGTTTTGTACTGGGGATCAAACTCAGGACTTTGCACTTGCAAGGCAGGTGGTGGTACCACTGAGCTAAATCCCTGGCCCTATATAATCTTTGTCTACCCTATGCTCAAAAAATATATTTCTTATGCTTTCTTCTAAAGGTTTTATAGTTGTAGTTATACATTTAGATTTATGATCTATTGCAGATAAGGTTTGTATATGCTGAGATAAAAGTTAAATCTCACTCACTTCCAAATGTATATTCAGTTATTGCAGAACAATTGTTGAAAAGAGAGTTACTCCGTTCTTTAATTACACTGGCACCTTTGCATTGGGTTTACTTCTGGACTATTCTATTCCACTAATATACATGTTTGTTCTTAGGACAATTATGTACTGTAGCTTTATTATAAGTCTTGAAATCAGAAAGTATAACAGCTCCAATTTTTGTGAAGTTTTCTTTTTCAAAGTTGTTTTGGATTCCGTGTGTGTGTGTGTGTGTGTGTGTGTGTGTGTGTGTGTGTTAAAATCAGCTTGTCAACTTTTACATAAACACCTGCTAGCATTTTTTTCCATAGAGTTCATTGGTACTTTTTAGGTAAACAGTACAGTTACATTCATCATTGGAATCTTGTACCTTTACATGATGTATCTTGGTTCTTATTTTTTTCCCCATTCCCCAGCCCTCCCTTCACCCCTTCCACCCTTTTTAGGATTTTGTTTGTATGGTAATCTTCAGGCCAACTTAAGTGAGAACTTACATTTGAACAACATTGAGTCCTCAAGTCTATAAAAGTGTTAGATCTTTTGATTCACTTGAGTCTTCTTTAGTATAGCTCATCAATGTTTTATTCTTTGCAATACACAGATCTTATACATATTTAATTAAATTTGTTCCTTTAAAAAAATAAAATATCTCAGGCTGGAGCTATAGCTCAGTGGTAGAGCACTTGCTTAGTGGTGCAAAACCCTGTGTGTAACCCCCAACATTGCAAAAAAAAAAGTTGAAAGTAATTAATGCACCATAAAATTTACGTAAACTTTTAGAGTATACAATTCAGGGGTTTCTAGTATATTTACAAAATTGCGCAACTATTATCACTACCTAATTCCAAAATATTTTCATTACTCCTAGAAGAATATTCATTGATTAGTCATTCCTATTTCCTCTCCCTCCAGCCCCTGGCAACCACTAAGCTATTTTCAGCCTCTATGAATTTGCTTATCTGGTACATTTTATATAAATGGGAAAAAAAAATTTTTTTTTTTTTTGGTACCAGGGATCAAACTCGAGTCCTTGCGTTTGCAAGGCAGGCGGCGGAACCACCGAGCTAAATCCCCAGCCCTAAATGGGAATTATTTTAAAACGCAGTCTTTTGAGGGCTGAGCGTTTAGCTCAGTGGCCTAATATGTACAAAGTCCTAGGTTTGATCCTCAGCACTGGAAAAAAAAAAATGCAGCCTTCTGTGTGTAGCGTCTTTCACTTGGCACATTTTCAAGGTTCATCAGCATTGTAGCGTGAGTCAGCACTTTCGCCCATAGCTGAATGATATTTCACGGTATAAATATGTCGATGTGGACCACATTTTGTTTATCTACTTATCAACAGAATGCTTGATAGCTTCCATTTGTGGTTATTATGAATAATGCTGCTGTGAATGTTCATTTTCAAGTTTTTTAATGTTTTCATTTCTCTGGGAATATATTTCAGAAAGAAATGACTGCATTATATGTCAAGCCAACGTTTCACATTTGAGAAACTGCTACCGTGTTTTCCAATGCAGATATACTGTGCTATATTCCCATCAGCAGTGTTGGAGGGTTCCACTTTCGCCACATCTTCCAATACTCATTATTCGCAGTTACATTTGTGTGGTACTGGGGATCAGACCCCCAGGAGCAGCACTCTACCACTGAATCTACATCCCTACTCCTCCTGAATATATACAGACAAGAACTGTAAGAGAATCATTAAGGGTAGCCCTTGTGAAGGATGAGGGAGGAAGCAGGAGCAGCCTTCAGACTCCAGCGCAGTCTGAGATTGGAAGGAAGAGCCTTAGACTGTGGAATACTTCTGAGAAGGTCTCAGCTCAGCCCAGCAGGGAGCTTTGGCACAATGATAACTGGTAGAGGAATTCCACATTGGGCAGAAATGGCCAGGTCGTGATGTTCTCACCTTGCTCAGGATCCACTGGAGGCTGCTGGGAAGAGTGTGGCAGCACTTCCTTGAAGGGAGATACTGGAGGTGCACTTCCACGTGGCCCTCTGATACTTGGAGACAATCTGGCTAATCGGCCTCCCTCTGTGATCTGTGTTGACTATGACATTCTATATCAATAAGCATCTAGGGTGGGGTGTGTTTGTTTGTTTTGGCTGTTTGTTTGTTTGTTTGTTTTGAGACAGGGTCTCACTTTGTAGTTGACACTGACCTGGAACTCACTATGTAACCCAGGCTGGTCTCAAACTCACAGGCATCCTCCTGCCTCAGCCTCCCAAGTGCTGGGATTACAGGTGTGCACCACCACACCTGGCTGTTTTGGCTTTTTAAAGACAGAGTCTTGCTGTGTTCCAGACTGGCCTTGAACTTGCTGTGTAGCTCTGGCTGGCCTTGAACTCACAATCCTCCTGCCTCAGCCTCCTGAATACTGGGATTATAGGTTTATGCCATTATGCCCAGTTTTGCATCTCTATCTTGTTTTAAAAGATGTTCAGAAAAGACCACATGGTTTTCTCTAATGTTTAACATTAAACATTGGAATTTTTTCTATGTTTACTCTCAATCCTCTAGGCTGGGGTGTAACCAGTTTTCTTTTCCTTGAGATATGTATGGATTTCTAAAATTATAAAAGCTTTAGATTGACTAATGATCCAATCATTGAACATTATCCCACATTAGCCAGCCTGAACGGGCTGATGAGGACCATTACAAGTAAATGTTTCTTCTCTTTAAAGATATTAACAAGGAGAAATTTTTTAAACTAAAAAAGTTTATCATTCAATACTAATCATTTAGAGTTAAACAAAGTCGTTTCCTAAAGAAGGAGGAGAAAACTATAGATTTTTTTTTTGCCTTCAAAATTCTCTGAGTTTTACAAAGAAAAAGCTTCACGATTCTTTGTGTTTAGCACCTGGGTGATTATGTGATCAATCACTGTTAATGAAAGGGCCAGTCTCAGCAGAAGGAAGAATTAAGTGGACTCTCTATGTAAGGAGTAGCAACTCTTCCCAGGAACTCACTTCCGGATCTAGGCCATGCTTTCCTGGCATGAATTTTCAGCTTTCAGATAGGCATGCCAGTTCATTCCTGATTGCTGAATATTTTATTTTCTATTTTCTACAAAAGAAAATAAAAGGATGATGTGATTGTGAATTTTGTGTATCAGCTTGTTTGGGTCACAAGGTATTCAAATAGCTATCTGGTTGAACATTACTTCTAGATATGTCTGAAGATATTTACAAAGGAGATTAGCATTTGAATCTGTAGACTGAGTAAAACTCATTGCTTTACCCAATGTGAGTAGGTATTGTCTATAAGGTATGATTGGAAGCTGTGGTCAATGTTTAAATTTTTAAAAAATACACTGCAGTAAAAGACACATGACAACTAATCCCCTCAAAAGACCCTTCCTTCAAACATACTTGTTCCTTGTTCTTGGCATTTTCTGAAACAGTTCTGGAAGTCTTTTTGAGTGTCTTTAGTTGTGCTGTCATGGTCTTGATGTCCGGAATTAATTCAAAGCATTTGCCTTACATGATTATTTTGACTTTGGGGGAAATCCAGCAGTCAGACAGTGCCACATCCAGTGAACAAGGTGGATGAAGTCACGTCAGAATGGTTTTTTATGTGCCTGCCTTTTCACTGGATGGCACCTAGCAGCCACATTCACCATATTTTTTATCATATTTTGTAAACACATAAGAAAGAACTTCAGAAAATGACAAGAATGGTGTAATAAATATGTTCAAAGTAAAAGAGAGTATTTTGAGTGGGATTCATAGCAGTATATCTTTTATATAATAATTTTTAAAATATAAATATTCACTGTACATTTTGATCACCCCTTATTAGATGAGAGCCTGTATAGGACAAAAAGACAGAAGGAAGGATAATTTACTCTTTGCCTGACTGCTTGAACTAGGACCTCAGTCTTCTACCCTTGGACTGGGATTTCCACCAGTAGGGCTCCTGGATCTCA